CCCTATAAATCAGAAAGTTGGCACTGCGCATGCGCAAAACGAAATTTTGAAACTGGCGTAAAATTTGGTTTTATTCCAAGTGCCTATGTATCAAATTTTATTTAATTGCCTCCATAAATAAGGAAGTTGGCACTGAGCATGCGCAAAACCAAATTTTGAAACTGGCGTTAAATTTGTTTTTATTCCAAGTGGCTATGTATCAAATTTCATTTAAATACCTTAATAAATAAGAAAGTTTGCAATTCGGTCTGTAAATGGTCGAGATGCGCAAAGGGCACTGTGAATGCTGATCGATTAGGTTCAACTTTTGGAATTGTGTTTTATATGGCTAAAGCTATGCGCATATTGAATTCCATGCAATTCGGTTCATAACTAACGGAGATGTCAAAAGGGCCTACTTTATTTTTTGGGCTACATTGCCAATTCACGAACTCCGATCTACAAATTTGATAAAGAATCCACCTGCAAAATTTCATCGTAATCGGTACATTCGTTTATGAGTTATCGTGCTAATGGACGGACGGGCGGACAGACACAACAAAATTATAAACTCGCTAGGAGCTCGTTAATAACTGATAATCGGGTAGCACAGTTAGTAAAAGAAGTGAGTAAAGATGAAGAACTTTAATCAATTAAAAAATATGTAGTAAACGTTGGCCAACTAAGTTCAACTTTGAAGTAGAGGGTAAGAGGAACCTAAATCCAAATTTTCATGCGATTCGGTGGAGACGCGGAAAATTACACAGTATCGCCGTATTCCACGTTCATTTACTGGCCTAATAGACATGCGAACTCAAATAAAAGAGAACCGATGATTTCACACGAAATAATTAAAAAACCATGGCAAAAAGTGCTTATATGAAGTATCTGGTAAAATTTATCTAATTGTAGTAGACTACTACTCAAAATTTCCAGAAATCTCGAATCTTCATAAAAACTTAACATCTAGTAACATAATTAACAAATTAACAGCAATTTTTGCAAGACATGGAATCCCAAAAATAGTCGTTTCCGACAGTGCAAAACAATTCATAGGCATTGAATTTCAAAATTTTAGTAAACAGTGGAATTTTTTTATCAATAAAATCCTCTCCGCATCACCAACAGTCAAATGGACAAAGGGAGAGAACTATTCAAACAATAAAAAAATTAATTAAGAAATCAACTGAAAATAATGAAGATATTTATCTAGCATTATTAGCTTTCCGTAACACTCCTGTTTACAATTCTTAGACACCATCTCAAATTTTAATGTCCCGATACCTCAGAGACAACTTGTTAATAATTGATTCAAAGTTAACTAAGTGGTGCCCAAGTAGAAAACAGGTATAATACTGTTCTAAAAAGAAAAAAGAATGGAGTGGAGCACAATTCTAGAACAGGTGCAAGTCGCGTAAACGTTCCATTTGAAGAAGAATTAGGCAAGATCAGTGCACACGATGATAGCATTGGACCAGAAGTTCTTCGCAATGTACAGACTAAAGCAGCGTAGCATGAACGGTACTTCCTCAACAGCACCGATCCACCAATCCAAACGCTCTATTGACGATTCCCCAGGTAGTGCATCACCGATATCACGTGAAGGTTCACCAGCACCACAGACAAAGTCAAATAAGAAACGCATGACCTCGCAAAAGATAATGTACGAGTATAACATTCACAAGGAGAAGGAAGCAAACAATGAAAAAAGACACAAGAATTGGATTTAATTCGTGAATTATTTAAAAAAGATTTACATTTCATTACAATATTACAAGTATTTTTATGCTCGGTTATGATCTTATTTACACTTAACATATAAATATATCTTCCCTTTATGTTTAAGATAAACCATCACTTATTGATTTTCTTTTCTCCTCGCCTTTCTTTCTCAACTGCATTTCGCTCTCCCTCAATGCTTCATTATCTTCTTCGAAATCATCGCCTATCATCTTCCATGTAATCTTCTTCATCAATACAGAAGTTATGTAAAATGCAGCAGGCTACAATAAATTGACTCATCTTATCCACTGAATGTAAATCTAACTGGTGCAATTGCCGAAAACGACCTTTAAGCAATCCAAATGTATTTTCTATAAGTACACGGGTAGCAGAAAGTTTACGACCTTCACTCTTTATGTTGTAAATTTCCAAAGTCTTTATAAGGTGTCTGGAGCCATACACGTATGGGATATCTCCAAGAAGATTGTATTTGTCCCCTCAAATGGGCAATTTTTCGTATATATCTGATAGTCTTAAAACTCTTGCATCGTGAATACCAGTGAAAACATCAATAAACTTTTTTTCAAAATTACAAGTCGCAAAAACGAATACTCGCTTCTCCTCACTCGTCGTCATAGTAGAAATCTGCTTTTCGCTGCTCCCTCCTCTCTCGAGTGGATCTCCGCAATTCCACCGCGGTATTTGTTACAAGGTTCTATTACAAAGAAACTAGGCCAACTTCACTTGCTTGTAAAATTGGACGAAGGAAGAACGTTAAAGCGTCATATTAATCAACTCCGCCGTACAAATATAAAAAAAGTACAATTTCAAATTACACCTTTGGAGCAATCATCGCGGAATGATGACTTTGAGCTATTTCTGGCGCAAAACCACTATCATCTGCTAGACCACATTTTACTGCATTGGGCATAATGACTGTTCCTGCATTATATGTATACCCCCTAGTAATGTTTGTAAAAAAATCCCTCTTTGTTTACTACTAACGCTGAAACATATGACGCAATGCCGACTCGTACCAACAAAGATTTGAGAATTCCTCTACATAGAACTGCATCATTTGAGAAAGGACCTTATTATTCCGCCATTAAAGCATATAATATGCTACCACTGCCACTTAAAAAAATAACACCAACGCATCGTTTTAAATATGAGTTGAAACTCTATTTAACCCGATTAACCCTATACAACGCCCATTTCGTATAATCTTTATTTTTTCTCTCCTACTCTGACAATGCTAATGTTTACAAAATGTAAAACTTATGGCAATAAATTATTATTATTATTATTACTATCAACATTTTGTGTCTGATGCTCAAGGACCAAGTCAACAAATAGAGCCAGATTCTCAACATCACCCAGTTTTAGAACAAGTGCAATTGCCAGTTGATGAAGAGCAGTATCACCGGCCAAGAATAGTGACGCGATTGCCAGCTTACTTGGATGATTATATTACGCGCTAATTCTGGAATCTTCCACAAGTGGACTTTAAGAGGAGGAGACTGTGGTGTTTTTCATAATATAGAATCCAGAATGCATTTGTCAATGTATAAATAAATGTTCTACATTATTAACAGAATATTAAAATCTTTAATATTCGTAAATTATTCAACAGTTTATATTATATTATAGCTATACTTTTTGAATTAGCACATTTTATTTCTAAATTGGGGTTTAATGTTGTATGTTGGTATACAGACAGCAAGTGGCCATCACCACCTTACTCTAGAGGGAAATGTTTTCTTAACATTCGATAATAATTGAGAAACTTGCATTGCGGAACTTCGTTACACATAATATGCTTATGCAGTAATTCAAATTATAAACATTTCAGGTTAAAAGTTTCTTTATCTTTACCTCCTTATATGTTATATTTTGACTTAATAATGTCATTGACTAAGCACTGTAAAATTTTTGCAAATATGAATGTATATTCTCAATGTATATATATACCTGAAATATCTAAACAATTAAATTTGGGTATTGCATGAAGCTTCTGTGACACATCTGGCATTATTTATGGAACATACTCGAGAGCATTTTGATATATTCTATATATATTACCAACAACATCCAGAAAAGGTGCATGGAATATGCTCATGAGACTTGTATGGTATATGCCTGAAATATATTTTTGTGTGACATAGTTTGCTTCTATGAATATTCTATTCTTATGCAATGCATAAATACGCAGATACACAGAATATCTGAATATGCATTAGAAATATTCTATGCATATTAATGACATATGTTTGTGCTAATTGGGATGCGATTCAGCAAAGGTAGAAATTAACAACCCAACAAATTGCACTATTACTATTAATAATTATTATAACAAAGAAAATTAACCAATGTTTAACTTGTCTGTGATTCAAATGTTACTTTGTTATACAGTGAGTTTTTTTTAAATGCGAACATACGCTTTTGTATGCAATGTTCGATTTAAAAAAAAACGCATCAATCTATGTAATGTGCGCGGTTCACATTCCCACCACCAAAACGCGCAACTTGCGTGACTATGAACAGCAACGGTTTCTAGAGTCTTCATGATGAAGAGCACTCGATAAGATTTTTTTTAAAGAAGCCATGTGAGGCCATAGTAACTTTAGGATAAATTTTTCTTAAACTTACGATAACTTGACCTCACAGGGGTACGTTCGAAAGTTCTAGTTAAATCTTTGCCCCAAACCGTTCGAAAATCTGAGGTTTATAACTGTACTTTACAACTGCGACGGTTCGAAAATAGTGACTTGTGTACCTGAGTAGAGTTGTTGTAACCCTTCTATAACAGGTAGGTTACATTTACCCTATTGTGGTTTACTGACACAGGTTGGATTTTGTAGAGGTTATGTTGTTTATTTAGTGCACAAATTATTTCATCAAGTTTTGACTTAACTGTTTTAAAAATGAGTATTATTCATATTAAATTCGACGAGGACATGAACCATAATTACACCTTAACCTTACATGAGGAGGCCTACGATTTTATAGTAGGTAAGAGCATAAACAAAGTTTTTAAAATACAGTATGTGTACCTATTATTACTATTTTTGTTGCAGCGGATATAAATAATAAACTAGTTACGTCAAGCAATTAATAGAGTGTAAAGCACTTCCTAATATTCAGTTTAAACAACTAGCATATTCCTTTGATAGGGACACATAGTAAGTTACTTTAATTTTAGTCTCAAGTACGTAGGTAAAATTAAATATGTGCTGTTTGTAGTGAACCTATTCAGACAGAGTGGACAGACAACGAACCTGGGGCTCTATTCTTGAGCGTGCGTACGAATGATGGTCCTTCGAAAATCTCTTGTCATGTATTCTGCGCCACTCTTATCGCATACGTATGCGTAAAATATCCCTCGCATTACAACGAGCGGAAAGGTGGTACGTGTTTTGGCGCGAAGACCCGTACATAACCTTAAATTAAAATCTTTTTAGTTCTTACAAAGGTTGCTTTATGAAAATAAAAGCCTTAAAAATGAATGAATTAGTTTTTATCGAAGTACTAGACAATCTAGCAGTTGTAGAAGATCAGGATGTTGCAAGGGAACGTCGACGTCTGCGAGCAAATATTTTTAATCCTTTAGAATTAAGTGATTTTCAATTTATTCAGATGTTTAGATTAAACAAAGACCTTTTTGATTACTTAAAAAATATGATAGAACCATACATGAGACCGCAGTTAAGGAACACAGACCTCAGTATCTCAACAAGGGTAAGTAAATAGTAATTAGGTATAGGTATCTTAGAATCAATTAACTTTGTTTCTTTTGATACAGATTTACACTGCTTTGAGATTTTATGCAACAGGGAGCTATCAAATGGATATAGGGCACAACCAATATATAGGAGTCTCCCAACCTTCCGTAAGTCGAAGTGTGGGAGAAGTAACGGATGCAATAAATACTCCAGAGGTATTTAATCGTTGGATAAAGTTTCCTAGAAATTTGGAAGAACTAAATGCTTGTAGATTACGGTATACTTTCTATAACTTAAATGTCATAGTCTGCATTTAAAATTTGCAGGTTTTTTCAGAAATTTAATTTTCCTGGGGTAATTGGCTGTATAGACTGTACCCATGTAGCCATTTTCCCTCCGAACATTGAGCATCCCCAATATCCAGAATATGTTTACATCAACCGTAAAGGGTTTCATTCTATTAATGTTCAAATAGTGAGTACCTATTCCAAAATAGCAATTAAATAATGTAAATTTTAATCGAGATTTTAATCTAATAATAAATTCTAATAAAAAACTGTATAGCAAAACAAATAAGTATAGTAATACATAATGATCGTTTTAGATAACTGATGCTGATATGAGAATAATTAATATAAATGCAAGGTATCCTGGAAGTACGAATGACGCCTTTATATGGCAGAATTCTAATTCACATAATGCGATGAGGACTTAGCTGATCATAAGGACTACTATTTATTAGGTAAGTTATAGAATAAAAATAAATACTTACATCTGAAACATTTCTTTTAAATTTTCTATTTTTCAGGTGATTCTGGTTACCCTCTGCGTTCATATTTAATGACGCCTATTGAACAAGAGCCCATCCCAAATACACCAGAACATCGCTACAATTTAGCCCACAGAACCACCAGAAGCATTATAGAGCGTGTTAATGGAGTGCTTAAGATGCGCTTTAGATGCCTTACCAAACATAGAAGTCTACATTATGCACCAGAAGTTGCATGCCGTATAATAAACGCATGTGCATTATTACATAATTTGTGCATTGAATTCAATATTCCCGTTCCTGAAGATGAGGAAGTAGATGAAATAGATCTTATTATAGGCGACGAACATAACTTGGTTGACGAAGACAATATAAGAAGAATAAACCCTGATCTTGCAGAAGGTCGATTAGCAAGAAGAAGGTTAATACAACATTTTTAAAAGCAATTTATTTTTGTAATGAAAATTGAATACATAAATCCAATATTAACACAATGCTTATTTTTCTGTAATAACATTCTGATATGGTAACATAAAATCAAAAATTCTTGAAAATGAACGCAAAAGTTTCCATTATTTTACTCGTCCACAAACCAATCACTTGTCTATTATATTATCACAAAAAGTTTCAAACAACCCCGCGATTTGTGTTAAGGACTCGGCAACAATTGCTTTACTGTCGGCTGATTTTTCTTTCGCTGTGGCAAGCTGTTGTAAAACTGCAAGTTTTTCTTTATAATAACGAGACTTTTCTTTGTTCTTTTCTTCTAAATACGTTTTATAATTTTTAACAGCTTCAAGCGTATTTGGCAGCTTTCTGCGCTGTACCTTAGGCATGTCTAATTTGGTTTTCTTTGAACGATTAGTCGCAATTGTTACATTATTATCTGATGCGCTGCAGCTTGGACTCGTTTCACGTATTTGGTGCTGTAGAGTATCGTTATCATCTACTAAGTTTTCCGTCTGAACTGGAATATTATTGTCAGGTGTAAAGTTTTCCGTCTGAACCGGTGTAACTGGCTGAAGAGCTATCTGCACTTCCGACTCTGCCACTTCAGTATGACCTTCTATCGATACAATTTTTATGATATCAACTATATCATCCTCTACTGTTGATAACGGATCTTCAGTATATGGGCCACCCCCGGTACCATTAATATGTCTCCTATTTGCACTGACTTTTATTTTGGTGCGTGACCGCAAGTCCTGCCATGTCTAGTTAGAAAAACGATTACTTAAATTTTATTAATATTTCCATTTGTACATTACCTTGCGCCAGCTTTTCCAATTCTTCGTTGATCCTCCAGGAATACTGTTCAAAATATTACTTATTTCTTGCCACTGTGATTCTGCATTCTTATACGTAAATGTGGATGTGAACTTCCCGCTTACAAGTTGTGGATGTTTTTTTAAATATTCAATCAGCATTTTCTTTTGATTATAATTTATACTATGGTTTTTTGCCTTCTCCATTTTTCGCAGTAAACGTTAATAAAACTAAGGTTAGAATGAGTTTCACAAATGACAGCAGTAGGCACGTTTTTTTGACCTAATGCGATGTTGCCAATAACGCAATCGCTTGTTTTCGATTGATCGTGCGAATGGTTGCCAAGAATTGATTCTAAACCTAATCTTCGCAAATTAACCATTCGATTTAGTTCGAATACGTGTGGATGCGAGTGATCTCAAGAATAGACCCCCTGGTCCTTCTTCACATACGTGCGAGAGTGAGAATGAAGATGACAACACAGTTACCGGTAAAATTGAATGTTTGATGTAGGTATAGTAATTTTTGTAGCTAAAACGTGGGCAGTTAAACAAACTAAGGCATTAATTACTGTGTACAGAGAAAATCAGTCTCTATTTCAATCTAACACAATAAAACGTGTTGATGCATGGAAAAAGGTAGCAGAAAAATTAAAATTTATGAACATTTCTAAAAATGCAAAACAGTGTGAAGACAAATGGAAAAATTTACGCAAAGCATACATTAAAAGGAAGGACAATAAGGAAAAGACTGGAGAAGCCGCACTGCAGTTTGATTATGAGGAGGAATTTGATGAAATATATTTAAAAATGCCCAATGTCAATCCTCCAACAAGGGCATCTGAAATTTTAGTTGAAAAAGATGTAGTAGCGGAAGAAAACAATGAAGAGCCACCATAAAAAAAACTTAAACTAGACAAAAATCAGGAAATTGTTAAAACCATACAATTAAAAGAAAAGGCAAAAGCCGAACGGCATAAGGAAAATATGGCCATGCAACAACAAGCAATAGATGTGTACAAAACGATGATGGATCGACTACTGAACACACTTAATTCAAGTAATTACTTTTTTGTATTGCATTTTTAACGCAGTTATTAAAAAACCAGTTTATTTCAAATATCTAGAAATTGTATTTTCTGCTTAGTTGCTAAATACAGTGAGTTTTTTTTAAATGCGAACATAGGAGTTTGCATGCGCTATGTAATTTTGCTATGTTCGATTTAAAAAAAAAACACATCAATCTATTAGGTGTGCGCGGTTCACATTCCCAAATCGCGCAACTTGTGTGACTATGAACAGCAACTCTAATAAGTCTTTATGATGAAGAGCACTCGGTAAGATTTTTTTAAAGAAGCCATATGAGGCCATAGAACCTTTAGGGTACATTTTTCTTAAACTTACGATAACTTGACCTCACAGGCCACGCACTGACACCACAACCTCGACTCTCGTACTCGCATAAGAGACGGTTGCAGGTAATTCAGAATTCTTGCTTAAGATTGATTTATGGTATACGTAAATTTCAAAGCGTTTCGCATAAATTAAAATCAATATCCTGGCTTGATATGGAAAAAAGTCGACTCCTTCACGCGGCGATTTTGTATCACAAAATAATATTTTTTAAAACACCGCCGTATCTTTATAATAAAATCACCTTTCGAACTGACGTTCATAATGTAAATATCAGACGAAAAGATCTCATTACTATCCCTTCTCATAGTTCAGAGATGTTCAAAAAATCTTTTTCATATAGCATTACCACTGTCTACAATGCCATTCCATCGAATATTAAAAAGCTTACAGTGTCCAGGTTTAAATCAGCACTACGTCACATTCTTTTGAACGAGTGTCCCATTCTCAAGTTACTTATTAATTCACTTTTTTTTTCACAGTATTGTCTTTTTGTGTGTGTGTGTGCTCTCTGTTTGTCACCCGTCCATCGAAATTGTAAACATTTAAACTGAAGATATGTTATGGGTTAAGTGGAAGAACACTTGGTGGCGATGTTGCCCCTAGGTGAACTTCGCCCTTTAGATCGTCATCTAATAAGGACCTTATTATTATTATTATTATTATTAACTCATTGTGAAACAACCTTCAATTATTTGTAGGTCATGTGCACCTGGTATTCTACTAATTTGATCTATTCAATACATAAATGAAGAAAATAAATAACGAAAACAATTACAATAAATGTTCGAAGTGTCCTCCTTGACATTCTAAGCAATCACCGATTTCGAAATTAAATTGGACGGCGATATTTTTAAAAATATGACAGTTGTCAATTGTATCTACTACTCGTTTGAACTACTCAATAGATTGATGTGTTTTTTTTTAAAATCGAACATAGGGAAATTACATTGCATGCAAACTCCTATGTTCGCATTTTAAAAAATTCACTGTATAGAAAAAGTATAGTGTGTAACACGTGCGTGAAGGATTTTGTACACTCTCGTGTACAAAATCTCACTTCACCCACTTGTTGCACAATATACTATTGAACTATAAAAACATTATTTTGAAATAAAGATTTAAATTTACCCTTACTTCGTGATCATACATTTTATCTACATCTTCCCCTACAAAATTTTTAATTTTAGGCACTTTTTGTGGTTGGAATTCCAAAAAATCCTCATCATCGCTAGATGAAGAGCTCAATAAATCAAGTATTGTACGTATATAAATCACTTGCAGTAGTTGCAGTAGCCATACTTGCTCTTAAATCGACTCTTGCTACAAGACCTGGAGCCGAAAAATCTGCCCTAAGAGCGATTCTGACTGCTATAGATTGCCAATGGAATGCAAACGCTGGCAGCGAGCGGTCCAATGGAATGCATCATTCGCTCTAGGTTTCTCGATGGAAAACGCTATCAGTCGAATAAAAAATAAGATGGCGTCTATGACATCGTTCGGCAAAGATGTAATGTTCTCAATGGTTTGTTTTAATAAGGTAGTTAAGTATTTTGTGAGTGTTTGTTAGAGGAGAGATAACAGTTATCAGAAGTGGGATAAAGAAGATACTGAAGATATGATTGGTGACGATCATGAAGCAGATGTCGGGAGCGGAATGGCTGCTGGAAGTGCGAGCGAGGCACTAGGGTTAGCTTCCGCAGGACATAACATCACGGTAGATAATTTAATTTCAATCGTAGTCTCCACGTTAAATAAGAGAGAGAAAGTAAATCGAAAACTGTCCAATGCCGAGATAGCTGCGTTGATTCCAGAGTTCCATGGCGGCGATGAAGATGATGCTGACACATGGTTTAAGAAGGTGGAAACCGTTAAAACCATGTACGAGGTGACCGACCGCGTTACTGTAGTTCTTTTGGTGGGAAAATTAAAAGGCAGCGCGTCCAAATGGTACAACTCCAAGCCTGAATATGCAGCGTTGCAATACAATAGTGGTATTCTTTTTACCGCTTTTAACTAAAGAATCTTAGTTAATCTCACTTGTCAGTTCAAAAGTGATCATTCCTTTTACCGTTCACAAATGAGTTTCAAGTACGCCACAACTAATAGCGTTTTCCACTGATGGATTAGCAGTGCGAATTGGTACCGCCCTAATTCTAACCGCACGCACTTTCTTGGAGCAGTAAAACAAATTGCACTACTTTGGGACAGTGGAAAACGCGAGACAACCGAAAACTCTTTTGAAACTGTAATTGTTGTGTCGTTAGTAAACTAATACCTACTTTCACAAATTCAAAGAATCTTTTACCTGATTATTACTACGAGTATATTGCGAAAAAGTCCTAATTTCAACAACATAATTACTCATCAAGGTTCAACCAGCCATCATCCCCGAACGAAATCTGACTAACTGTATGAATGATGTCATATGGCGGGCTTCCTCGGAACTATCGCGGCTTGGGTTGCGTTCAGTGAAGGCAAGGTACATTCTCCCCCTTTGGTTTTTGCTGGGCAACGTTCCGGGAAAAACCAACAAAGTTTCTGGTGGTTTGGAAACGACGAGGCAGGCGTTGGCTGGGGCTAGTGTCCTGCAGTCTTCGGCTACGACGAGGTTGAAGCTCATCCTCAGGTGACAGCTCCCTGGGTTGAGTTGGACCCCGCTCCTCCATATCACCGTTAGCATTGGCAGTGATTGGTTGGGGTACACTGAACGGCTTCTTTGGGCTTCGTAAGGATAAGGGGTAAGGGCCGATACATGGTAGTTACCAAGAGGTCTATCTGGCTTGTCAACATGTGCTATCTGGTAGGAAGTGGGCGACAGTGCTCTGGTGATTACATAGCGTCCATCACGTCGAGGTGCAACCTTGGAGGTAAATGACTTGTTTGATTTACTCAGAACATGTACCTGTACTAGCACATGATCACCAGGTGCATATCTGGGTGTATCACGTCGAGATTGATCGGCATACTTCTTCGTGTTATTCTGCTTATGTTCGTGATTGGCTCGGGCACGCGAAATCACTTGGTCCATGCGTCCCCGATCGGGGACAGATATCGAAGTTAGTCGTCGATAGTCGACACACAAGCGAACTTTATCTCTTTCTTGGGAACGAGTACTACAGGTGCGGCGTAGGGGGAATCACGCTCCTCGATCACATTGGATGCAAGTAGCTGGCCAATTTCTTCCCTCAGAAGCCGTGTCTTTTCTGCTGTCAGCCGGTACGGTGGTACAGAAATTGGAGTTTCGTCGGTTAGTCGAATGCTATGCTTTGCGTAGGGTGTGGGAGTAGAAGATGGTTTGAATACTTGCTTGTGTTCTATCAGGAGTCGCTCAAGGTCTTCTTTGTCCTTTTGATTTACACAGGTAGCCTCATTGGTACGTAAAGCTATGTTAACGTCGACATAGTCTGCATCAGTGTCGGAACACATGACTGGCACCGAGTCTGGGATTGAACGAAATGTGTGCTTAGCGTGTGACGCGTCCTCGAACCACCACTGCATTTTTGGTATATTTAGCACAACATTTGCCGAAGTGAGAAAGTCAATGCCCAATAAAGTCTTGCTTTCTTCATGCTCCGGTACGGCCATGAATGTGGAAGGTACTAATCTCCCTTCTAACAATACATCACATTGGAAAATTCTTACCTCGACTTGACGAGGGCAGCCATCTGCTAGGGTCATGTCGATCCGGTCAGAGGTGAAGGGAAAATTGCAGTCCATTAGGTAACTATACAGCTTATGTCCGGCAATACTTCTCTTCGCGCCAGTATCAACGCAAGCTAAGCCTGTAAGGGTAGAAATGCTAATTTGAAACATCGGTCGTTTGGCATCATCGGAATTGGTGTTTGCCATTAAAACATCGACTGACGACGTTGATTGAGGAGCAGGTGGTGATCTAACGACACCAGTTTTCGGTTTGCATTGGGGGCACTGGGACCTAACGTAGCCAGGTTTACCGCAGCCGAAGCACACCAGTTTGCTGTTGACGCTTGCAGTGTTATGTTCCGCAGAGGGTGTTGGAGCACTGGTCTGTGTTGCAGCATACTTCCTACAATCTGCTTTCAGATGACCAAAGTTATGGCAATAGTCACACCTAGGCCTAATCTAATAATAATAATAATAATAAACACAGACACATCGTTACTTGATTTTAATCCGTGCGATTGGTTAACCAGGCTAGACCTGAGTTCTCACAAGATACACCGACCATAATAATAATATATATTACGTGCTTTGCAAAAACAAAATAATACTTGCACTAGTCAAAACAACAAACAATACATTAAAGATAACTACATTTAATTACTAATTAAATTAAGGTAGGTATAGTAATCTTAAGGAATCCTCAACAGAGTAGAAAGCCTTTTCCTTAAGGAATTTCTTAAGCTTCAGTTTAAAACTTGGGAATGCTAATTCTTTAACATCATTTGGCAGGTGATTGAAACATTTTAAGCCAATAATTTCTGTTCCGTCCTGAGACTTGGTAAGTCTACGGAACGGCACCGGTAACAACATCCTACCCCTAGTTGTATAATTATGTGGAATTTCTTGCTGAAATCTATTAATATTTTGTTTTATGTAACATACACACACTAAGATAAACACACATGGAAAAGTAAGTATTTCTAATTTAACAAAACATTGGCGACAGTCTTCACGATATCCTAAATTAATGATTACTCTAATAGCACGACGTTGTAATTTGAAAATGTATTTAGCATGTGAAGAATTGCCCCATACCAGCACAGCATAAGACATCACGCTATGAAATAGTGCATAGTACGCATTACGTAAAACAAACTGGGATACATTTTTTTGTAAGCGACGTAAAACAAAAAGGTTTCTATTGAGTTTAGCAGAGATATTATTAACATGCGACCGGAAAGACAATTTTTCGTTGAGATATACACCTAGAAATTTTACATACTCTGGATTCACAATGTCGTGGTCAGTAGTGTTTTAAAGTTAGTAACAATGATTCCGTTTTAGTAGGGTTTATACATAACTTATTCAGAGCACACCAATCGTTTATGGAATCTAGACTACACTTGGATTCAAGTAGCAGGTTATGAACATTGCTACTTTCCATATAATAAACAACATGCATTAGGAGGAATGCTATTTGGCAGATCATTTATGTTTATAATGAAAAGAACTGGTCCAAGAATGCTTCCTTGAGGTACTCCTCTAACTAAAGGGAGACATTTGGAGTTACTGCCGTTGATACGAACACATTGATGTCTATTGCTTAGGTAGCATTTTATTAACGAAACGCTATCAAACCTATAGAGATCCAATTTTCGAATAAGTGAATCATGGCAAACGCAATCAAACGCGCGAGTTAAATCGAAAAAACTAGCATTCATGAAATGACCATTCTCAAAAGAAGATAGTGCTTTAGTTACCAAATATAATATGGCGTCAGTAGTACCCATTTTAGTTATTAGGTTTGTCGATAGACGAGGTGTTCCTTCGGGAAGTTGGCAGATTTGATTTATCTGCAAAATTTTCTTCGATCGAACGCACCTTATCAATTAGCGTGGCAAAGTTATTTACTTCGTCTCGGGGTAGCCGTTCTCTTATTCTTAAATTGTGAAGTCCGTAAACCATATTTAATTTGGGAACTTCGTGTAGTTCCGGAGTGTCGGGCAAACGCGATAAAAGCGAACGCGCGTTAGCTACGAACAATTCAGTTGCTTCGTTTTCAGCTTGCTCTTTCGAAAACAATTCACGAAAGATTTGATGTGGGGGTTTGTTAAACCCAAAAGCATGGCAAAGAGCCTTTAGAGCATCAATCCACGTCGGCATACTAGATCGCACTCCTTGCCACCATGTAGCAGCTTGGCCATCCAGTAACATGGTCAATCCCTTAATCGCATTACCATCGGTAATGTGCAGGCATTCCTTATAGACGCAAATAGCATCTATGAAAGCATCGTAACCATCAGTTTTTCGTCCTGCAAATAACACTTGGAAAAGTTTCCAGAATCTCGTTGCGTAGTGGGTGCGGCGGAGGGAACAGCCGTATCCCTCGTGGACGTCATCAGTACGGAATTGTCTACGGGCGAAGGTGAGGTTTCAGAATCTTGAGGAACCGAATTTAAATCTACCGCGTACCTCAGAGGTGGGCGAATCGAATTACGATTTCTTAGGTTATGCGGCATAAATCGATCGACTTTAAAGCAACGTATGATACGCCATTGGTTAATGCTACGCCACTGGTTACGAAGAGGTTAACAAAATGGCGGGATGCAGCACGCTTTCGCGGTAAAAGTTCGTTGCACACGAAAGGCAAAATGTTCTTTGTCAACAGACGCAAAGGGCAAATATCCTTTGAATATATACAGCAACCGTCCTGGTTGAAATTAACGCGTAAATCGCGACAACCTAAAGGACGCGGCACAAACAACACGTGTACGCACGATTACGAATGAAACGATTCAAAAACTTACGGTCAATTGCACAAATTCCATTTTCCTTAACACGGGTTCTGCTATATTTTTTTGAAAAAACAGCAACTCGTTGGGCGCCAATAATTAATGGGGTGTAACGGAATAAGTACTACATGGAATATGTAGTACAGGTTACCGATGCAAAACACTTTAATAACATTATAAATAATTCAACAAAACACAAGACTAACTTCAACAACATAATTTCAACCAGCCATCATCCCCCCACGAAATCTGACTAACTGCATGAATGATGTCATATGGCGGGCTTCCTTAGAACTATCGCGGCTTGGGCTGCGTTCAGTGAAGGCAAGGGTATTACATAAGAAGGCAAAAGATAAATTTCAGTTTCCCCTTGTTGAAGAGATAGTTATGGTTAGCAAAAAGGACATTAGGTTACTCCTTCCAGAGCCCCAAATGCAAGGGACAAAGCGACAAAAAAGCTACTTACATTTTGAAGTAAACTTTTTGTCTTTGAATGTACGCTAAATTGTATATTTACATCTTCATAATAAATACTATCGTTACGATTATATTATGTTTGCCTGATTGTGGAAATACCATGTCTTAATGTGGACCATAGCTGTTCCACAATAAGACACTTTCAACTTTTTTTTTTAATAAATTTTTTTTTGAACTATTGCAAATATACGCATTATTATTATCTTATCTTTTTTGCAAAACTGTACAGTATATAGCTTGCACAATTCATTGAAATATTCTTTAAAATAAAAATTTTACAAGCAATAAACCAGAAAGTGTCTCATTGTGGACCACCCTCCTACAACAGAGCAATCGAATATTTGGAAAAATGGTTTGATTTTGAAAATAAAGTGTTTCTGTTATTTAAAGTATTAAATTTGAAAAGCCGAATTCCATAACTCAATGAAATAAATTTAATTGCGTCTCACATTGGCATGGAACTTCAAGACGCTGATGGCGATAACCTTAATGGAGAATTATGTTAGCTCCAAAAGGCTGCTCCTTCTTTTATTAATCAAGATATTTCGATATTTTTATCAGTTTTGGAAACATCAATTTTGGTTTGTTGTTTATAAGTAAATAAACGTTCTGTTTATATTTTTTTGTTTTACCTTTTTCCACTCAATATGATGCGCGCAATTACCCCATAGCATGCGCGATATTGCCCCGGCAGATGGGGCAATATTGCGCGAAGCTCTATTTGCGTAGTTTTTAAAATTTTTACACATTTTTGTTTTTTCTTATAAATGTGAACGTCATATCTTATACTAAACTAAACATATTTAACAAGTGATTGCCAATTTGTCAGATGCTTACTCTAGAATTCAGAAATTATTTGCCTTAAGTGCGCAGTATTACCCCTCCTTCCCCTACATAATATCAAATAATTTGCGGACGTACTTACTGTGCAACCTTTATCAACAGTTCGGCTTTAAAATGATTTTCGGAGAATTGTACATTATGTCTGTTTTCCACGAAGTGTTCGTTATCTTCGTGAGCAATGTATTATGGTAAGGTGCGTTATCTAACACAATTACTGACGGGTTATCTAAATTCTTCAGTAATTTTTCTTCAAATCAATTCACAGCGAAAGACGTAGAAAATTATCAAAATCAAATCAAACGAAACGTAAACCCCGTAAACCAAAAGCGACCTGTCAGATTCTCAGATTTACAAATTTAAACGCGACAACATAGCGAAATGCTACCAATTGTTGCGGCTAAAATAAACTACATGCTTAACGTGTTGCCTAACAAACGAAAGATGGATCCGAGCCATGCTCGACTGCAGAATCATTATATCCTCAATTGGGATGACGGAGATGAGCTCATCGGTTACTAGAGGATGTCCGCAGGGTGGGGTATTGTCTCCACTGCTGTGGTGCCTGGTACTAGACGGGCTCCTCTGCACCTTGAACGAGGGGGGAGCGTATACACAGGGATACGCGGACGATCTCGCGATCGTCATAACTGGGAAGTTTCCAAACACCGTGAAAGAGCTCATGCAGGGGGCTCTCGAACAGGTGGATAGGTGGTGCAGTAGCCATGGCCTTTCCGTTAACCCGGAAAAGACCGAGGTTGTTTCATTCACGAATAGAAGGAGAGCGGATCTTACTGGGCTCGCTCTTCGAGGACGTCAACTGGGCCTGACCAGGTCAGTGAAATACCTGGGAGTCATCATTGACTCCCGCCTGACCTGGAAAGGGCACATTGAGCGCATAAGCAAAAAGGCCACTGCATGTCTATGGGCATGCAGAAGGGCTTTTGGTTGTACATGGGGCTTGAACCCTCGACTGGTATACTGGCTTTACACTGCAGTGATAAGGCCAATAATACTGTATGGTGCACTTGTATGGTGGCCTGCCATGCGCAGGGTAACCTACAGGAAGCAGCTAGGAAAGGTCCAACGACTCGCCTGTCTGGGAGTCACTGGAGCCCTAAAAACCACGCCAACCTTGGCCATGGAGGCACTTCTGGGACTAGAGCCTTTACACTTAGCTGTGGAGGCAGAGGCTCGGAAAGCTTCCATACGGCTAAACGATTGGGATGAATGGAAGGATCGAGGCAGCCTTGGGCACGGGCGGATCTGGGAGGAAACCCTCAGAACCGATCCCCTCCTTGCAAGGAGGGACGTGATCCGGGCTATCTTGCTAAGACCAAAGCGTTATAAAGTCATTCTCCCGGATAGGGAGCAGTGGCTGAACTCGGATTGCCCGTTCCTCAAACCTGAGGGGCTCGTGTGGTTTACAGACGGGTCCCAAACAGAAAGGGGAACGGGCATGGGTATATATGGTAATCGACCGAGAGCCAGCGTCAGCGTCTCCCTTGGTCAGCATAGCACCGTGTTTCAGGCAGAGATGTTAGCCATCATGACCTGTGCACAGGAAAACCTCCGTAGAGGTTACCGTAACAAGCATATACATATGCAGTGATAGTCAGGCGGCGTTGAGGGCCCTGTCGGTAGACAGGTTCCGATCAGCTACGGCGCTTGATTGCAGGCGAACCCTAGATAGATTAGGTGAGTCTAATAGGGTAAGCTTGATTTGGGTGCCAGCGCACTGCGGAATAGGGGGCAACGAAAGGGCGGACGAGTTGGCTCGCGAAGGCAGTGGTGGGGTCTTCGTCGGGCCCGAGCCTACCCTAGGGATTGCTCCCTCCGTTGTTAGGGCCAGGATTAAAGATTGGTTGACCAGTCAATTCCAGGCTCAGTGGCAACAAGTAACCGGACTCCGACAGTCCAAGGCCTTTCTAACAGGGCCCGTTGGCAAATCGGGGTCTTCTAAGCTTCTAAAACTGAATAGATGCCAGATTAGTAAGATCAACTATCACCTACATAACATTGGGCTCGCGGAGGAGTCCACGTGCAGGTTCTGTGGCGAGGCAGATGAAACTACCGAGCATGTGGTCTGTCACTGTGACGCTTTGATCAGGGACAGATATCAACTCCTTGGAGACAGATACCTGGAACCGAGGAGGGTGAAGCAACTTAGGCTAAACAGGGTCCTATCCTTCATTGAGAGGAACGGGCTCTGAACTCAGTTGCGAAGAAAGGGGGTAGGCACAATGGGCCTCTGATGTGCCTAAGTGCTGCCCGGTCGGGCTCCCCTGAGAATAGATAGATAGAACAAACGAAAGTAAGTTTACGTTGGTACGTCGTTTTCTTCAGATAATGACGTGCAACGGAAGGTATACGGAATAGACCGTACCTGTAGCAGGTTTAGTTAGGTACTTGTTTTTTAGCTTTATGTCTATGCGCGCGCATATATATATATATATATATATATGGAAAGTTGCAAATATTATGAGTATATTAAGCAATTTCAGCAAAATATTTACTATATACAATAAAATCTATTATCAGGCTAGGAAAATTATATCAGAACATCAGCATGGGTTTATTAATAAGCGATCCACATTAACGAACCTTGCATGCTTTAAGCAATTTGTATCGCTACCGTTAGATTGCAGGGGCCAGGTTGATGTCATTTACACTGACATATCTAAGGGCTTCGATCGAATACCACATAATCTTTTGATAGCGAAACTCCGGTGCTATGGGTTTCATGACGCCTTACTACGGTTATTTCAATCATACCTCTCAGATTGCACCCAGCGTGTGACGATTAATAACTTTGTATCTTTTCCAATAAATGCTACCTCTGGAGTACCTCAAGGGTCCAATTTAGGACCCCTCTTATTTAGTCTATTTATTAATGGTGTGAATGATGCGCTAAACTGTCAAAAACTCTTATTTGCCGAAGACTTAAAAATTTACTCCGTTATATCGGCTAGCGAAGAATGTTTACAACTGCAGAATAACTTAAATAGCTTAAGTAATTGGTGCAATGCTAATTCATTAACACTGAACATCTCTAAGTTTAAAATAATATCATACACGCGTAAAATGAGTCCAATCCTGTTCGATTACTCTGTCAGTGGTGTCAATCTATTCCGTACGTCATCAATAAAAGATCTGGGAATAACATTTGATAGCAAATTCACATTTAATGAGCATATAAAAGAAGTGTGTCGATCAGCTAATCGAACTTTGGGATTCCTGATGCGCAACTGTAAGCAAATATCAGATCAGTCAGCTCTTCGGTCCCTTTACTGTAGCTTAGTTCGGTCCAAATTCGAGTACTGTTCGCTAATTTATCATCTCACTTACAATACACATAAATCGGCATTGGACGCCATACAGAGAAAATTTTTAAAATATTTGTATTATAA